TTGGCTTGTTTTACAACGTCGTTGCCAAGCGACGAAAACCCAACCCCGACGGCAAACACCGGTGGGGGGCAAAAAATTGAGAACGCGGGGGAATGGCCGTGAGTCCATAGCCACGATGGAAGGGGCGTGGGAGGGTAAAAATCAATGCAGCCAGCCCCATGGCGCGTCGGAAGGGGCGTGGGGGGGGGTATACTCTTAGTCATGTGTAGTCGTTAGGCCATTGACCTCGCATTCCTACAAAGCCTGGACGGAGCACGCCGGGTTCTCACTGGACCAGGCTCTCACATCACCAAGCGTGAAGCATCGTGAGGTATTCGGCGAGTCGAATGAAGGGTGCGCTGCATCCTGGTAAGGGTGTGCGGCATCTTGTGCTTAATTCCTTGCGTACGGATGAGAGCTGCGTACTACTTAATTTTTTTCTGGTGCTTTCACTTCCGTAGACAGTTGTAAGCACCGTATTCTGCCTCGAGGGTGCTTGACCGTTTTACACAACGTGGTGCGATTATCCCCTCGGCGCAGAGGGAGGGTCCTCGACCCCGCACAACATAATCAACTCGACCACCGTCATGGTTACCACCCAAACAAAAAGCATACCAGTCTGTCCGGAAATATAGCTGGGATTTGAAGTGACGGGAATATATGTGGGATATGTACAAAACAGCTGTTCGCGGCCCTACAGGCTGTTTCTGGGGTCCCCACATGGTTTCAATAGCATCAATTCACTTACCGGAGGGGGGGCGAGATTTTCGCCGGGTCAGGCGGGGACGTTTCATTGCCACCCCCGGTTTTCACAAAATTGTCAGGAAAAGCACATTTTACCCAGTTATCACGTAACCTGGCACAGGGTATCGACGACGCTTGCACGCCGGACACTAGCCCATATGGGTGCCGGATTAGTGGCCTTGATTGCCGGAGGGATGTTCGGAAGTAGGTGAAAAAAAAGAAGCGGTAATCTGGTTGCCGAGCTCACGAAGTGATCGGTTTGTTTTACAACGTCGTTGCCAACCGACGAAGACCCAACCCCGATAGCAAACACCGACGGGCGTGGGGGGGGGGGGGGGGGGGGGGGGGGGGGGGGATGGTGTCCTGTCTGCTTGGGGGAGTGATGCGATGCTGCAGCTGGTGCATGTCTGTGTCTGACGCAAGACGCGTGCGGTGTCTACGTTTTGGCGTGGTTTACTATTGGCAGAGCGACATCATGGACAACGACGGCGAGGGGACGGCGAGCAGGAAACGGGCCAGGGAAGAGGACGACGAGGCGGGGCGCGACCTCCAGAACACGGGAAAGGAGGACCCCGTAAGGTATGCGGGGATGACGGGGGACGTGCGGACCAAGAACCATATCCCGTTGATTCGAGCGATGGCATGGGGCATGTTCAAGGCTGGTTGAGTGTCGGGTGTTGGTCTCGGAATTTGTGTTCTTGTGTCCATTGCGGATGGGGGAAGAAGGCATTGTGTGTTCGTCTCTCGCGAAGTGGGCCGATATNTGCCGTAGTCGTTAGACCATTGACCTCGCATCCCTACAAAGCCGGGACGGAGCACGCCGGGTTCTCACCGGACCAGGCTCTCACATCACCAAGCGCGAAGCGCCGTGAGGTATTCGGCGAGTCGCATGAAGGGTGCGCTGCATCCTGGTAAGGGTGTGTGGCATCTTGTGCTACCTTTTTTGCGTAGGATGACAGTTAGTAACCGATAACTCGCAGGATCAGTCGGTGGTGTATCGTCCGCAACGTCCGGTATTGGACTTGACGAGGGGCCCATGTCATGCAGCCGTACAGGAGTGCCAACCCTAACCCTAACTCAAGAAGGTTACCTACCGGAAGATTTCCTACGCCCAGACCCTGAAGAGGGTAGGGTGCCAGTGCGTGGAAACCACGATTCGGCAGCGGTGCCTGCTGTTCGCGGGAGCGCTGGCAAGGCAGCCAGACGGACGACTCCCGAAACGGGTGATGCTTGGCGAGCTGGTGGGGGGGGAGGGCCCAGGCAGGGGGAAACCGGAGCAAAACTGGCAGATGTGCCTGAAGGACGACCTCAAGATGTTCGAAGCAGAGCACGAATCTACGGACGCCGAGCCATGCTTCTTCGGAGGCCCGGACAAGTAGTATGGAAGCAGCGAACGTGAACCGAGGGGTACCGTGGCATGCAGAGGTACTGCAGGGAGCCAAGAGGTTCATGCCGTCATGGCACAAGAAGGAAGACGAGGCTAGCCGACAACGAGCGCTCAAACGAAATAAGAAGCCCGGGAACGACACGGACACGGCAACAACCACGGGGACGGGAGGGATACAGCAGGCGGACGAGACGGCGAGGGAAGACAGGAAACGCGAAGAGGCGGACCGAGCGGCGCGAAACACTGTGCCGAATCGAACCCCTTGCTTGACTCATCCCCCCCACCCCCCACGGCACTGCACCGTTTCAACAACCCCCCGCGAGCGATGACGTGCATTTGCTGGCTACCCCGTTCTTGTTTGTGTTGTTTCGTGTTTTCATGTGTTGTTCTGTTATTGTTTGTGTTTGTTGTCTGTCGCTACGGTGTGTGTCTTTCTCCTTCTCTTTCCCTTCTCTCCATCTGCTCTCTTCTTTCTATTCTTCACTTCTATTTTCTTTTCTTTCTTTTTCCAATATAGGTCACATCGCATAGCGTGTAGAGGCGGGCGGAGTGGCCTAGACTATCTGTCGTTGACCTCTATTGGTTTGCGGACCCTTTGAGTCCATTTTGTTTTGGTGTACCCTTATTTTTGGTAAGTTAGCCTGTGACCACGGGAATCGGCCCCGTCAAGCGTTAGACTAGTACGGACAGAGGAAGGTACTTGGCAGAGAGAACGGAACGGTTTTTGATGTGAAGCCAACAACAACCACCTGACGGGCGAAATCCTCCCTCACCCTTCAGATCTGAGTCCTTGCGTGACGGATACGTCGAGGACGTATGAATAACATTAGTTTTTGGTTACTCCCTCCTTGTTTAGTCTAGTTTGTTCTTCTTTTAGCTTCTTCTTTAGTAGAATCAGGGCAGGTACAGGGTGGACAGTTTATCCGCCATTAAAAGGGATTCAAGCTCCCTCGGGTCCTTCTGTCGACTTAGTTTTTTTCGTCTTCACCCACCAGTCATATTTTATTCATTTCATTCAACCATCTTTGATATGTTTGCTCCGTGGTGTGACTCTGAACCGTGTTTGTCGCCGTCCCCCTTGCATTCGCAGAATAGGCCCGCGCCTTCATGTTCCCGCTTCTCTGCCGCCCACAAACGTGCCCAACATAGCTACCCAAATATTAAAGGAATTGTCACTCGTGTGAACGATAGTTTGCGGTTGTGCATTAATTTTTGCGGGGCGTTTCAGGTTCGATGGTGGGAATGCGTTCCGCATGTTCACTTGCGGTGTTGCGACCGATCGCCTGATTTACGCTTCTGGCCACCTCTCTTGGAACCTCAAACATCCGGACTGGTATGTCGACGTGGGAAATGGGCACGAGAAAGGCCGCCGATAACGGATATCTTGGAGTCCTTCAACAGGCAAGAGACAACGGCTGTCGCTGGCACGAGAGAACGTGCATTTTGGCAGCACGGAAAGGACATCTCGAGCTTCTTCAAAGGGCAAGAAACAACGGATGCCCCTGGGATGAGGAGACCGTGCATGGAGCGGCTTATGACGGGCATCTTGAGGTCTTTCAATGGGCAAGAGACAACGGATGCCCCTGGGACGAGACGACTTGCAACTTTCAACCTCGCGGCTTACAATGAGCACCTCGAGGTCCTTTAATGGGCAAGAAGCAACGGATGCCCCTGGAACAGTCTCACATGCACCAAAGCGGTTGCGGGCGGACATCCTGAGGTCCTTCGATGGGCAAGAAACAACCAATGCCTCTGGTAAAAGGACACGTGCTGCAACGCGGCTCGGAAGGGGCATCTTGCAATCCTTCGATGAGCAAGGAACAACGGATGCCCGTGGGAGAAGAAGACGTGCTCCAAAGCGACTTGGTCCGGAAATCTTGATGTGCTTCAATGGGTAAGGGACAGTGGATGCCCGTGGAATGAGGACACATACTCTCAGCGGGTACGAAAGGGCATGCTGAGGTCCTTCAATGGGCAAGAAACAACGGATGCCCTTGGTTTCGAGACGATTGCCCACATGCATAGTCGAGTGTTGGAGCAGTACAGACCGTTGGGTGGAACATCTGCTGCGGACGCTGTAACATCGGAATACATATAAAACTATGTGAGCGCTTAGTAAGCGTCCTCGTAGGCCAGTAAAGAACAAACGGAGTCTTATGGAGTGTTTCCCATAGAGGCGAGGTTAATATTTCTCTTTCGCTAGAGGCAGAATAGGCTGCCACATTCAGCGCTAAGGATGTGAATCACAGTGCACAGCATGTGTCACTTTCATATCATACAAACAAAATGAAATGAAACAGTACCGAAGCGACGCACCGTAGAACTTCACCGGTTTCCAAATCGTTGGCAGTCCAAGGGTGTGTGCATGAAGGAATGTTTCGGAAGAATAGGTCACCTATCCTAGGGGGGAGACGTTTCCTCCTGTGTTCACATGATATCGGTTCTTCAAAGCTGTGGATCGAAAGTTGGGTGCGTCGAAGTGCAGGCGGTGTTGTTCCAGGCCAAAGAGGGACACGGAAGGAGAAAACTCCGCCCCCCGTAAACTTGCTAACATTTTAATTAAGACGCACATGTACCTGCTGATGTCATCCGTCTTTCAGCAGGTTTCGTGATTGTTCCTTTGGCAGCCCGTTGGCACTCCATGGCTACCCATGGAACGAGAAACGCCCATGAGCAGCCCCTATGGATTTCCCACGTGAACAGGCCATGTGCGTTCTGTGGTCTGCGCATCGTAAGCTTACACTTGAGAGGAACTTTGCCCAGAGTAAGCGGTCCACGGATATGCCAATGGTCATGCCCAACACCGCCCCTTCATGGGAATCCCACACGATGCTCATGATGCTCACCATCGGCAACCCATGGAATGCCCGCCATGGAATCCCCGTCATGGGTGGTTCATCAATGAAATGGTGCCCTTGGGAGGCCAACCATTGGCATCCACCAAAAAGCCCGTGGAATGCTATAAAAGGTGGGTCTTCCATGGGTGACCCATGGGTGAGCCGTGGGCCCTCCGTTAGGCCCGTGGGCAGCCCATGGGTCACCCATGGGTAACCCATGAGTGACCAACGGGCACTTTGTTGCCCATGGGTGACCCATGGGCATGGACATGCCCACAGACAGCCCATGTGGGCTGCCCATGGGCTTGCTCATGGGTAGCCCGTGGGCAGCCCATGGGCGGCCCATTTGCAACCCATGGAAAGCCCATGGGCGGCCAACGAGAGCCCTTCATTCGAGCCACTCCTAAACAACACATTATCTGCGTTGGAAGGCACTTTAGCGGCTAATATCCCTAACCCTTATCCTAACCCCAAGCCCACACGATACGTACTAGGTTGTCGCTGGTGGCTACGTTCTAAGTTGATGTGCAGGTGGCTAAGTTCTAGGTTATGTGCCGGTGGCGAAGTTCTAGGTTGAAGTGCCCACGGTGGGCACTTCATGGGCCGCCCATGGGCCGCCCGTAGACCTGCTCATGGGTGACCCATGGGCAGCCCATGAGCAGCCCATGGGAGGCCCATGAAGTGCCCGTAAAGTGCCCATGGGCGGCCCATGGGTGACCCATGAGTGTCCCATAGGCGGTTTATCAGAACTGTCAGTATGTGGGAGATAAAGGTCCGCTTCAATCATCGTGACCAGCGTGATTAACGGTGACAGCATTCAACGCTTCCGTAGACCCCGCCGTAGCACATACCTCGGAGTCCCCGTAGTTGAGTATCGGGTGCAGAGGACCACCAAAACCACCCCCCACCCCCCCGGTACTCACCCCCTGGCTCCGGTGTTTGCCATCGGAGTTGGGTTTTCGTCGCTTGGCAACGACGTTGAATAACAAGCCGCCCTCTCGGTGTTTGCCATCGGAATTGGGTTTTCGTCGCTTGGCAACGACGTTGAAGAACAAGCCGCCCCGCCCCGGTGTTTGCCATCGGGGTTGGGTTTTCGTCGCTTGGCAACGACGTTGTAAAACAAGCCGCCCCCCCCCGGTGTTTGCCATCGGGGTTGGGTTTTCGTCGCTTGGCAACGACGTTGAATAACAAGCCGCCCCCTCGGTGTCTGCCATCGGGATTGGGTTTTCGTCGCTTGGCAACGACGTTGTAAAACAAGCCGCCCCCCCCGGTGTTTGCCATCGGAGTTGGGTTTTCGTCGCTTGGCAACGACGTTGAATAACAAGCCGCCCTCTCGGTGTTTGCCATCGGAATTGGGTTTTCGTCGCTTGGCAACGACGTTGAAGAACAAGCCGCCCCGCCCCGGTGTTTGCCATCGGGGTCGGGTTTTCGTCGCTTGGCAACGACGTTGAATAACAAGCCCCCCATCGGTGTTTGCCATCGGGATTGGGTTTTCGTCGCTTGGCAACGACGTTGAAGAACAAGCCGCCCCGCCCCGGTGTTTGCCATCGGGGTTGGGTTTTCGTCGCTTGGCAACGACGTTGAATAACAAGCCGCCCCCCCCGGTGTTTGCCATCGGGATTGGGTTTTCGTCGCTTGGCAACGGCGTTGTAAAACAAGCCAATTCACTTCGTGAACTCGGCAACCAGACTACCGTTTTTTTTTTTCCCTGTCTTTTTTTTGGCGTTAACCATATTGGTGGTCGAGTTGATCATGTTGCGCGGGGTCGAGCACCCTCACTCCACGCAAGGGGGATGATCGCACCACGTTGTGTTAAAATGGTCAAGCACCCTCGAGGCAGTTACACAGTGCTTACAACTGTCTCTGGAAGTGAAAGCACCAGAAAATAAATTAATTCATACGCAGCTGTCATCCGTACGCAAGGAAGTAAGCACAAGATGCCGAACACCCTTAGCAGGATGCAGCGCACCCTTCATGCGACTCGCCGAATATCTCACGGCGCTTCGCGCTTGGTGATGTGAGAGCCTGGTCCGGTGAGAACCCGGCGTGCTCCGTCCCGGCTTTGTAGGGATGCGAGGTCAATGGTCTAACGACTACGGCATGCACGACTATGAGTACACCCCCCCCACCCCCCCGGTACTCTGATGCAATGGACGGCAGGAACCCTTCGCATACCACCAGGTAAACCGGCACCAAGTGCAACTACCAAGCGAAAGCCGAAAATCATGCACCTGACCGCATAAAACAACGTGCTAAGTTATCAAAACTTCTCAACAAAACACGTTTTTTCAATCTTTCAGAATCTCCTGTTTATGGCGTCAACTTATCTACAGGTCTGCCAACATGTGTTAGTTGCCTCCGCGCCTTCCCACGGTAGTATGGGCTGTATCTGGGGACGATGTTAACCCAGGACCTATCTAGATGACACAAAACCGTGCTTACCACATCGCCGTGCTCCTTCCAGGACACAGCATACACACAAGAGAGCATGAGCTTCGAGTCAGGTAACCTTCTCCACGACAAACAATGCGGGCTTAGAGGAGAACGGCCGAAAAGTTGCTGTAACAATGACAATGAGTGATGGTGGTGAAAGCACGCCGCACTCCAAAACGAACTCGAGCGCAAGGTAGCAGCCCTGGTGGACAGTTTTCTTCTTTTCCTACCGTTTCTGTCTTAAATCCTGAGAAAAGCTTCGCCGTCCCCATGCCGGCCCCTCAGGGTCCCAGTTCATGGCATTTAGAGGTGTTTTGTGTTTTCAACTTCACTGAGACTGACGTATTTTCATTGGTCAGTCGGTTTGATGGGTCGATCCCAATGATAAGCACACAAACAAACACAAAGCACATGTGCGTGCTCTTTCTCGAGGGCCCCCCGCACTTGGGTCCCCAATACCATACTCCACACACACACATATTCAGATCGGATGTCGTGCCCAAGTACAGTGCTCCAAACAACATGCAAACCAACCCTCCTGAGAGAAACACTTTACCATGGTATAAGCAGTCAACACTCACAACTTTCCCGTAGGAACGATTCCCACAAAGGGCCATCATTACATCGAAAATCGCGTCACAGAAATGGACAGATAGGTAACTCCAGGACATATGTGTCAAGTACTTAGAACGAAATGCTTGGATGCAGTAAAACCATGTTTCTCGAACAACCATGACGTATCACAAGATGGCAATATATCCTCCAAAACAAAGACGAGAATAATAGCTCGCAAACGAACCGAAGAAATACCGGGCCAGCAACTTGACCGGAAACAAACGTCATCAAGTAAAACCTTGATAGAAAATGAAGCTTCCTCAAGAAGCGCGAAACAATTCAAAACATTGCTGCGAAACGTCCACCGATTTTGAAAGTTGCCTACAAGCGCCGAACAAATTCAACGCCAAGACAAGGACTCAAACATATATGTGCGTGGAGGGGTGTTCAGAAACCTTAGTTGGCGTCGTGTTGTCGTTGCTGCTCGTATTCCTATTTTCCGCCATCGACCCCCCAGCACGATTCCAATCACCCTTCGAGCTGCAAACTCCAAAGCCCTCTATCCCGGATCGCATAGATGAGCCACACCTCCCTACCATCGCCCCCCTCAGGGTCACGAGAAGAACTTTTCCTGGGACCGAAAGCACGTGCCAGCAGCGTTCTCGTCCACGTTACACCCTGCCCTTTATCCCTATTGCCACCGCAATTCTGCCACCTCTGCCGCTTCTGAAGCCGCAAGAGGGATTCCGCCTCCGCCAAACCAAGCCGCCGCCGATGCCGCCACTCCAGCCGCGATGCCGGCGACGCGGCCGTATCCCCCTCCGACAAAGCGGGGGAAACTACCACAGCTCGCCGCCGTTGCCGCCGGCACTGCCACCGATGCCGCCGCCGCCGGGCCTTCGGGGATGACGTCGAAGACCACGGCCGCAAAGAGACCGTAGCGACCGACCCCGCGGGCACGCACGTCTCCCCCAAACCTGGGGGCAGAAGCCGAAGGTGCAAATGGCAGAGTAATTGGCGACCCTCGCCAGCGTGAGGCCCTTGTGGGTGGTGGAGGAATTATCCTCGCGGGAGCTGCGTTAGCAGCACCGTTACCCCTGGCTGTCCGTCCTGGTGTGACGGTGACGATAAACGAAACCGGCCAATGAACGGCAACGCTGGCTTGGTCCTGCTCTCGTCGCACATTTCAACCTGGGGGCACCGCTTGTCCTCCTTGAGCACCTCCACCGTCAGATAAAGTAAATCAGCTGCTCGTCCGCGACAGCCTCGTGCC